CTTAGAGTAAATTCCTAGGAGTGAAAATCCTGGGTCAAATGGTATTTCTATTTTGAGTTTTTTGAGAAACCTCCGTACTGCTTTCCACAATGGTTGAACTAGTTTACATTCCTACCAGTAGTGTAGGAGGGTTCCCCTTTCTCCACATCCTCACCAACATTTGTTGTTCCTTACTGTCTGCTTTTTAATACTTATGTTTAATTTTTTTGCATGATGTGAGTGTATTGACAATTCAAAAATATAAATAAAAGAGGGCTTTGAAATAAAGAAATTGTAATCTCTCCATGCATTCACAATCTCCTCTGTAGTACTTTTTAATAAAAACTGCAGTGCTTACTGTTTTCTAATATACTTACATAATTTACTTATATGAGTTGTTACTCTTCCTACAATAATATAAATTTGACAAGGGTGAGATACTTATCTATTTTGTTCACTGATGTGCCTAAAGCAGTGTCTGGAACATGGTGTAGACTCAAGTATTTGTTGAATGAATGGATGGATGAAATCATGAGTTAAAAACTGGAGGTCCAGTTCAGTGTGGTGATGTAGAAAGATCCTGAACTCATCTCCCCCTGTGGACACACCAGATCTCTGCATGGAACAGTTTCCTCTAAAAAAAAAACCCCTTAAAACTGGTAGAACAACCACTTCACATTGGGCAAATGAGAGGGAAACATCAGAGCAGGTAGAAAAGGCTGGGATACAATTTCACCATAAACCCCATCCCTGGCATTGCAGCCCACAATTAAGAGAACTCAAAACCTGGAGCTTCCCTCTGAGGAACAAAGGGTTCATACCACATGTCAGCAGCCTCATTTTTAAGATTTCCACCTGAAAGACAAGCCCTCCAAATTTTTGGTTTTGAAGAGCAGTGAGTCTTTTGCCCAACAGATCCATGGGGCTGTGGTAAACAGAGGTATACCTCTTAACAGACCTCTGCGCAGACACCAGCTCCAGAGTGCAATGCAGAAGCAGTTTTCTGAAAAGCACCCAGATGTTATGTGAAAAAGATGTATTTGCTCATCTTAAAGTGTTGGTCTGAGATGCAGGGGCCTGCTAGTATATGTTCCAGGGATGGAAGCTCTGGGCTTCAAATAAAGTGGGTATAGAGGGAATGCATTGCAACTTGATAAAGGCCATATATGACAGATCCACAGCCAACATCATACTCAGTGGTGTAAACTAAGAACTTTTCCTTTAAGGAACAAGACAAGGATGCCCACTCTCACCACTTTTATTCAACATAGTATTGGAAGTCCTGGCCAGGGCAGTTATCAAAGAAAAGAAATAAATCCATCCAGATTGGAAAGGAATAAGTAAAGTTGTCACTATTTGCAGATGACATATATAGACCATGATAATTATGCCACCAGAAAAACCCAAAAACAAACCTATTAGAATATATGAATCCAGTAATGTTGAAGGATACAAAATTAGTTTACAGAAATCTGTGTCATTTCTATACACTAATAATGACTTAGAGAAAGCCCATATATGACTGCATCAAAAAGGACACAATACCTAGGAATAAATTTAACCAAGGAGGTGAAAGCTCTGTACACTAAACACTACAAGACACTGATGAAAGAAATTGCAGAAGACACAAATAAATATAAAGATATTCCATGTTTATGGACTGGATGAATTAATATCTTTGAACTATCCCATATAATGCAAAGCAGTCTACAGATTCAACACAATCCCTACCAAAATTCCAAAGGCGTTTTTCACAGAAATAGAACAATCCTAAAATTTGTATAGAACCACAAAAGACCCCACATAGCCAACCCAATCTTAAGAAAGAAGAACAAAGCCAGATGTATCACAATCCCTGGTTCCAAACTATATTACAAAGCTATAATAATCAAAACAGTATGATACTGACATTAAACAAACAGATCAATGGAACAGAACTGGCCAGAAATAAACTTCTGCTAGTATGATAAAATTTACAACAAAGGAACTAAGATTATACAACAAAGAAGGATAGTCTCTTCAATAAATGGTGGTGTTGGAAACTGGATAGCTACATGTAAAAGAATGAAACTCAATTACTGCCTTACACCATACACATAAAAAAAGACATGAATGTAAGACCTGAGACCATAAAGCTCCTAGAAGAAAACATAGGCTGTAAGTTCCTTGCCATGAGTCATGGCCATGAGCTTTTGAGTCTGACTCCAAAAGTAAAGGCAACAAAACAAAAATAAACAAGTGGAACTACAACAAACTAAAAAATTTCTGTACAGCAAAGGAAATCATCAACAAAATGGAAAGGCAACCTAGTATATGGAAGAAAATATTTTCAAATCATATATCTGGAGTTAATATCTAAAATACATAAAGGACTCATATAGTTCAATGACAAAAAACAAACAATCTAATTAAAAAATGAGCAGAGGATTTGAATTGACATTTTTTCCAAAGAAAGACATGCAGAAGGTCAGCAGGTACATGAAGGGATGCTCAACATCACTGATCGTCAGGGAAATGTGAATGAGAACCACGATAAGATATCACCTTACACCTCTTAGAATGGCTATAATAAAAAAGACAAGAAATAATACGTGGTGAAGAGGATGTAGAAAAAAGGGAACCCTTGTGCACTGTTTGTGGGAATATAAATTGGTACAACCACTAAACAAAACAGTATGGGGATTGCCAAAAATTTAAAAGTGGAATTACCATATGATCCAGCAGTTCTAAGTATTTATCTGAAGAAAATGAGAACACTTAACTGCAAGAGACAGGCGCACCCCCATGTTTACTGCAGCAGCATCTACAGTAGCCAAGATATGGAAACAACCTAAAAGTCTTTGATGAATGAATGAATAAAGAAAATGTGAAATATATATAGACATACACACACTGGAATGTTATTAATCCATTAAAAAAATGAAATGTTGACATTTGCAACAATATGGAGGGACTTGGTGACATTATACTAAGGAAAGTAAATCAGACAAATACCTCTTACTTCACTTACATGTGGAATCTAAAAACAACAACAAAAAAACAAGCTCATAGATTCATAGATACAGATGATAGATAGACTGGTGGCTGCCAAATGGCAGATGGTGGAGGGAGTCAAAAGGGGCAAACTTACAGTTATAAAATAAATAAGTCATGGGGATATAATGTACAGTATGGATACTATAGTTAATAATACCATACTGCATATTTGAACGTTGCTAAGAGAAAAAGTCTTAAATTTTCTCATCACCAAAATAAATTGTGTATATGTATGGTGATAGAAGTCAACTAGACTTATCATGGTGACCATTTCTCAATAAACACAAATATTGAATCATTCTTTTGTACACCTGCAACTAATATAATGTATGTTAATTTTACCTCAATTTAAAAAAGTTAACTGGAAGGAAACAGTAATGGATCAAAAACATTGGGAATAAACAAGGCCAAACTTGCCTTGAATTGCATGCAGCTAAATTCTTCTTGTTAGACTCCGTATTTTGTGTGACATGTGGATGAATCTGGTAGGCTTTTAGAGGGCCAAAGGCAGGAAAACCCCACTACTGCATTCCTTGTAGACCCACATGCCTGGGACTTAAAAGCAGGTCATAGTGTGTATAAGGTCTGAAACCATGTGTAAATCCTTTTTTGCTTTTCTAACCAACTCCTTTTTTTTAAATGATACTATTCTTGAGAGTCTGTCCACTACTGTATTTAATCATAAATTGCTTAGCTAATGAGGTGGGAAGGAGTTAGGAGAGGTTGAAGAGTCTGAAGAGTAGAGATGGGTTTAATAAAAGTGGATGCACTTCATGATAAAATGTTCCAGTGAGTAATTATGTATGTACACACACACACACACAGGGAAGCACATGTAAGTATATAGCTTAGTGAATTTTCACAAACCAAATACATCAGTGTAATTAACACCCACAACCAAAAACAGAACTTAGCATCCCAGAGGCTCCCTTTGTGCCTCTTCCAGTTGATACGTCCCACTCGGAGTAACCACTCTTCTGGCATCTAATGCCATAGATTTGCTTTGCTTGATTTTGTACTCCATATAAATTAAATCATGTAGTATATACATTTTGTGTCTCTTCTTTTGCTCAATACTTTTTTGAGACTTACCCACAATTTGGTTAGAACTTACTCATTTTCAATGCTATATAAAATTCCATTGTATGGTTGCTCATGTGAAACCTTCTTAAGATTGTGTATCAATGATTGCTAGGCATTTGCGTGGTTTCCAGGTTTTGGCTATTATGAATAGTGCTACAATCTAATACATTCTATTATTTTGATGTACATTTACATAATATGTTCTAGTGTTTTGATGTGCATATGTATGAATTTCCTAGGACATTTCATGTTTCTATCCATGATTTCTGGTGAACTTGAACCCCGCACTTGTTTGCTGAACTGTTACTCAGCCTTGCAGTCAGTGTATTGACTCCGCATCCCTTATACCGGTGAGAGCTGGAGTTGCAGGTATTCCCAGATCCCTCCCTTCTTAGTGTTCTCACTGGGCTTTGTCTGCTCTTCAGATTCTTCACATGTATTCTGGCTAAGTATGCACATTCATGTTTTTTCTTAGACTGTGTGCTTTTCGATACCTTGTTTTACCTGCTGTGTATCCCAGCTGCTGGCACAATCCCTGAAATACAGTAAGCTGGGTGAGTGAATGGCGAGAGCTGTCACCCTGCCAGCAGTTAGCACAGCAAGTCCCTTAGCTATGTGCACCATGAAGCTCAGGTAAAGTCCTTGCTTTAGTCTGCCATCTCAGAGTCAAAGGGTTAGGAATGGGAACTGATTGCTCTGTGAGAAGCCCAGAGCTGAGGGCTCAGAACTGAACATGCTGTGTGGTCAGAGGGAAGTGCTGTGGCTTTACAGGCCTCTTGGTGATTTCATGTGCTAACAGCAATGATTCCAAGGGATAGCGTGGGGGCCAGATATAAATAGCAGAACACAAATGGGGTAATGTGCCACTGCCAAGCTACTGCTGGGGGTGTTTATAAAAAGAAAAGCATTCCCTTCTCTGCTCTCACTGTCAACAACCTCCTGAAGACATGCTTACCACAACTGAGAGAGTGGGGAAACAGTTTGAGACCTGGCATCATTTAAACCTCCTCCACAGGCAGAAAAACCAGGTAAATATTTTGACTTACTTACAATTAGACTACAAAAGTGAAGAATTTTCAAGAAAACCCTGATTCAGAGCTTGCTTGGCACATGCTGCCTTGTACAATTATCTGTTAAGTATTGAATTCCAAATCTTTTTAGAGAGGGAAGTTTAACACAAAAATGCCATTTTGGTACTATATTTTAATATCTCTCATGAAAGGCACTGTTCCTGAAGAAAGGTGGGAATCTGGGTCAAGGGAAGACTACCTCCTTTCCCCTCTACTGTTCATTCCCATTTTCAAATGCCAGAATACAGTGTTTGGTAAGATCAAATAGAGATTTTAGTTCAGTTCCAGTAATGTCAGCTTTGTTGTAGGTATGTGGAAGGGATCAACCTTTAATTGATTCCATTAATGGCTCTGGGACAGCTTCAGCCCTTGAGAGCCTCTTTCCCTCTTGTTTACTCCTTTCAGCCTCAAACATCGGGATGAATACCGGGCCTCCAGACAATAATGTTGTATAATGTTATTTCAATAGCTGCCTAACCAGTTCTTTGTTATCCCCATTCCTACTGTCAGAAAGTTATGCAGGACATTTGTTTTATTCTTGGGCTTCTCTTGAATGTGAATATTTGGGGGAAGGAAGCCCTCTAGGATGACCTGGTTTATACCACTCCTGCCTTTATCATCTCCTCCAACCTGTCCAAATGGCCTGAGTCATGACTTGGTTTACAAAAAGGGTAGAAGAATGGGTGATGTGCATGGAAATAACTCCTCGAGAATTATTGGAAACTAGGAGATAGGGGACCAATTTGAAATGGTTGCTTTTTAGTTTGTGTTATTTCCTGTGTATATTGAGGGGAAATTGAGATAGGAAGAAAAGATGACTACTAGAAAATATGACTACTAGTGACAGTGAGTGGAGAAACAAGTCTGGGGAAGAATGGAAATGGATAGATTTAATCTTAGCAAATTGCTGAAGTTCTGTGAGCTTTTGTTTCCTCATCAGTAGAATGAGGGTATTAGACCACCAAATAAAATCTAATGGCCCTTCCAGCCATAGGAAATTTATTGATAATCACTTCCTGACCATCATGATACCCGCTCTCACTCAATGTGAAAATACATATAGCGTGTTATCCTACTCTACTTCCCTAAACCTCTTTTTTAGTCTGCTAACTTGCAATTTCTTCCTTTTAATTTAGAAGAGAAAAATGAAGACAGGTCATTCTGATAAGGTCGCCATGCTGCTAGCAGCTGTGATTCTAATGGACATCTTCCAGGTAATGTTGGGAATGGGAAGCATGTGGTCTTTGGAATAGGAGCTCTTGATACAATTTTTTCTGAGGTATGTGTGTGGGTTGATGCTGGCAACGAGAGCAGATGAATAGGTAAATCCACTTCTTACAAGTAGCTTTCATCTTTTTGTTTTATGTATTTGATACATGTTAACTGTAGAAACTTGAAAAATTAAAATTAAGCAAAAAGGAGAAAGTAAAAATCATCAATCCACAATCTTTCCACTCAGAGGGAGACTCTTAATCTGTGGTTATATAGTGTTCTCTGCTTTTTTCCGTGTGTGTGTTTTTAATTTACAAAAATGGGTTCACACTATACAGAGTATTTTTTTATCTTGCTTTTAAATTTAACACTGTGCTACAAATGTTCCTCCAGTCATTAGATATTCTTAAAATATCTATTTTCCTGCAAATAAGATGACACTGCAGTGTTCAGCTACCTGTTTTCTATTAAACTATGTAATGACCATTTTCACACATTCAGTATTTTTTTCTGATAGAACTTCTATGAGTTTTATTTATTGTAACATATGTAAAATAGAAGTCAGGTATATCACTTGTTTTTTTTTCCTCTCTCCTTGTTAGTTATATCATCACTACTGGGTTAGTATTGTCCACTGATTTGAAGTGTTTTCTTAAACTACATTAAATTCTTACAATTAAATATGCTTTTGAATTTAATATCCTAGAATGTCTCTAGAATCATTATGTATTCTGTTGCCTGTACTGCAGTTTGATTTTTGTTTACATTGAGGTATAATTCACATATAAAAATTCACTATTTTAAAGTGCATAATTCAGTGGTTTTGTACATCCACTATGTTGTGCAACCATCACCACTATGTCATTACAGAACATTCCCATCACCTCAAAAAGAAACCCTGTAGCTATCAACAGGGAGCCCCAATTGCCTCTTTCCTGCATTCCCTGATAATCACTAATCTATTTTCTGTCCTTGTGGATTTGCCTATTCTAGATATTTCATCTGAATGGAACCATACAACATCTGGCCTTCTGTGTAGCTTCTTTCACTTAGCATTTTCACTTAGTCGTTTTCAAGACTCACCCATGTTGGAGCATTTATTAGTACTTCATCCTTTTTTCTTTTTTTTAATTAAGGTATCAATATACAATCTTATGAAGGTTTCACATGAGCAACTTTGAATTGACAATGTTTTAAGCACTTAATATGTTAATACATTTAATGTTCATGACAAAACTAAGTATGTATAATTACAATCTCTATTTACACAGGAGAAAACCTAAGGCACCCTTAAGTTTAAGAAATATCCCAAAATCAAAAAGTCAGTCAGAGCAAATAGCCTCTTGCCTACATTCTTTTTTTTTTTTGAGAGGGCATCTCTCATATTTATTGATCAAATGGTTGTTAACAACAATAAAATTCTGTATAGGGGACTCAATGCACAGTCATTAATCAACCCCAAGCCTGTATCTCAACAGTCTCCAATCTTCTGAAGCATAACAAACAAGTTCTTACATGGTGAACAAGGTCTTACATAATGAACAAGTTCTTACATGGTGAACAGTGCAAGGGCAGTCATATCACAGAAACTTCCGGTTTTGATCATGCATCATGAACTATAAACAATCAAGTTGATATGATTATTCGTTTGATTTTTATACTTGACTTATATGTGAATCCCACATTTCTCCCTTATTATTATTATCATCATTTTTTTAAAATAAAATGCTGAAGTGGTTCT